CTGGGGATTGCAGGAAAACTCCAACTCCCCTGTGAATCGGGAACCTTTTCGGAGGATCAAATCCTTATAGATTTCGTCCAAAGAGGGAGGGAAACAAAATTCCCATTTTCTATCTTGATGGGGTGGGGGGGGGTGTCCACTTAGGATGAAAAAACGATTTGGGCCGGCCCTGGTGCTTGCTCAGGAGACATCACTGATGGTAGGACAGATAGAGCCGGTCCCCTTTGGGGCCCATCGGTGGCTGGGAGGGATCCCAGGGTGGGAAACTGGGGAGTCTCCAGCAGAAAAAGAGGAGACTTTGGTGCTCCAGGACTAGAGCCCAGCGTTAGGGGAGTGGGGTTGGGCAAGGGCATGTTCTATCCCCTTTCTGTGCCTCAGTTTCCCCCACCCAATGCCCAGGGCTCTGTGGGGGTGAGAGGGTGAATTTGCTCTCACGCCAGCTGGAGGAAAGCTCGGCAAGTCAGCACCCAGCTCACTGCATGATGGGAAGGAAGCTATTTCCTTGTTAGGCCCTGAGCGTTGCCTTTCCTAAGGCCGAGCTCGGTGCCTCCCGGACTCGGGCTCCAGCAGCCCCTGTGTCTCCCCAGCTGCCCTCGGCAGCGAGTCGGACTGAGATCCAACTCCTCTCAGAGGCTTGTGCCCCTGCCGGGCGTGGCACTGCCAGTGATTAGCCCCTGGCACATGGCGTCTGCCAGGCCGTAGGCAGCAGAGAACAGCCCAGTGTCACCAACAGCCCCAGCGCTAGGGTAGGCTGGGCACAAGCCAACAACACGTGCTGTGATACGGCCAAAGAGCGTCGGCCATGCTCCCAGCCTGGCGGAGGGGTGGGTGGTGGGTGTCTCTCCAGGGATGCAGAGATGCTGACAGTGTGCAGGGGGCCATGGGGGATAATCAGCTGGACGTGAGCCCCCGTGCGACAGTGTGGCCAAAGGCGCTAAGGATGCCCAAACAGGGGAATCGCGCGTAGGAGCAGAGAGGCCAGTTTACCTCTGGATTTGGCGCTGGTGCGACCGCTGCTGGGGTCCTGTGTCCAGTTCCGGAGCAGTCCAAGAAGGATGTGAATATATTGGAGAGGGGGCAGAGGGGGGCTACGCGAATGGTTAAAGGATTACAAAACGTGGCCTGGAGTGATAGACCCCAGGAGCTCAAGCTATTTAGCTTTGCGAAGAGAAGCTCCCACCTCCCAGGGTGACTTGCTCCAGTCTAGAAGCACATACACAGGGATCAAATATTTCATAATGGGCTCTTCAGGCTAGCAGAGAAAGCTCTAACATGACCACATGGCTGGAAGTTGAAGCTGGACACATTCAGCCTGGAAAGAAGATATCCGTGTTTACCAGGGAGGGGAATTAACCATGGGAACAATGTACCAAGGAGTGCGGTGGATTCTCCCTCAAGGTGGGATGTGTTTCTAAGAGATCTGCTCTCGTTCAAACAGGAATTAACTGGGGGCAGTTCTCTGGCCTGTTATCCAGGAGCTCAGCCTTGGTCCCTCCTGGCCTGGGAATCTACCAATCTCCGCCATGACTTCTTGGAATCCGTCTTCTCGCTCTGGTGCTGCCCGGTGGACAGGGACACAAAGTGGGCAGGTAAACTGAGTCACGCCGCTTGTTCACAGAAATATTCCCATGTTCTCTCGCTCCTCCCCAGACTCCTGCTGCCAGGAAGGGGCACACCTGGGGATCAGCCGTCCTCCAGCAGAGCCCTACTGCTCTGGGTGCCAGGTGACCCAGTAGGTTCCCCCCACTCAGCGGGTCTAGAGAGATTGTTGGGGTCCACTAGGCATAGCTACCAGGTAACTCGGGAGAGTGGAAGGCCAAAAGTGCCGATGAAGCTCTTTTGCTCTGGGTCTGTGAACCACAGTGACTCCATCTTGGGAACTCTCACCTACTTCTATGCTAACTGCTGACATGCTCTGAAGTAGGTTGAAGCAGAAATGTAATGTCAGCTTTTTAGCAGATGGCTGCAGTTTCCCTCACACTAGCAGAAATAATAGAGATAAGGAGCGGGGGAAAGGAGGGGTAGTTAGTTTGCAGGCGTCTAACTCAAGGTCGCAAAGACTGGGAAAGTTTTCTCACAAGCTTATGTAGAGCTTATTGTAACAGTTGTCTGGAAGGGAGGGGTAAGGGGGAACAGCCAGACAAAGAGATGTATGCAAACAGTTTGGAGTATAAAAGGTAAAATTTGTTTGTATTTGTGGCACTGGATTTGAGACATGCTGGGTCTCCTAGTGCCCTTTCAGAGCTCTGAAATAAACTTGGCTTGCTTTCTCCCCTCAGTGTCTTTATTGGTGCCAAGCACACCGGGCGACGGACCATTGTTGTCCCCTCGAAGAAATAAAAGGGCGTTTTTTACGTGTGGTTTTTTTTTTTAAGTCATCCCTGTCGGGGCCCCACCTAAAATGTTCAAATTGGGCCCCGCACTTCCTAAAGCCAGCCCTGCCCGCCTTGCTACCTGCCAGCCACCTCACACACCGCCAACCCCTGCCATCTCCATCACCAAGAGCCTGGTCACGCCCCCATCAACACCTGCCAGCAGCAATGCCAGGCACATGACCCCTAACACGATCCCAGGCACTCGCACACATCCAAATCCTTGCAACTCCAAGTACACCCTGCCCTGCAACAGCACACACAACCACCCTGACAGGTTACACTAGACCAAAGGAGTTTTGATCACCTTGATAGGTGATGAACAACTTCACACAGACATGTATCATGGCCATTTTATTAACTATTCAGAAAAATGATAGCAGGGAACTGCTAGCTCTTAATTAACATGACAAACAAATCATTACAAGTTTACAAAACAATCCAATAAAATGCCAAAGCAGCCCCTTCAGCACCTGTGTGTTATTTTTATAGCACTGCGCATCTTACTCAGCACAGACAAATCTCATCACACAGATAATTTAACAGTCAAAACTCATTCGTTTTCTATTAACAAAAAACAGTTCTGTACAAGTATGTTGTAAGGATGTCTCTGCAAACAAGCAGTTCTGCTGCGTTTTCCAAGCAATGAGACAGTAGGTAGTTGTGATGTTACTGGGTAGCACATTTCCCCCTTTCCCCAACCCCAGCATTCTAGCAGCGTTGGATCTAGCCACACTGACCTACCACATGGTGTTCAGGCACAGGTTAAACTGTGGATGCATGGTTGCTAAAATCTGCAGCAAGGTCTATGGATACAAAGCCTTAAAATCCGAGGGCACCATGCAATGGGTATAATTCAAAGACCTTGGAGTCTTTAAGGGATATGGCGTATGTGTGTCTTTTGTCATTGCACCAAAATCCTGGTTAGGAAGCCCATTAAAGATAGGCAAATATAAGCAAAAATAACTTCCACTAATTTACTTCAAGCTTTTTTTTCCTCTCCTTTACTGCAGTGGTGAGTCATATCTTTGTGACACATTAACGGATGTCCTATTCTGTACCACATCAGCTTAGCTACCCTAAAATTCTGATTGCCGCTAACTAATGTTCTCTCCATCTGAGTCACACTACAGATCACTTACCTGCCCTGCAGGGCTCTGTTGTATTGGTTACAACATTGGCAAGTCTACTGGTGTCAATGACAGTTCACACAACGAGTAGCAAAGATACAATCGCAATTTGCAGCGCAGATAACAGAGTTTTGCCTTTAATTTCCAAATTAGCTCAAATTCTCTTTTCATTCAGTTTGCTGCATTCTATGTTAAAGCTGTTATCTCTGTGCTGCAAGTGCACAGAAAAATACAGCAGGATATTCACAGGTTTAATTTGTATAAAAGTTACTGTTTCCAAAAGCAGCTAGCAAATGTCATGCCTTGGAAACAATCATCCAATGAGAATTTTTTCTGGTGACTCCCATCTTTTCATGGGCTGTATATTTATACCTCCCTACAGTAGTTTCCACTCCATGCATCTGATGAAGTGGGTTTTAGCCCATGAAAGCTTATGCCCAAATAAATTTGTTAGTCTCTAAGGTGCCACAAGGACTCCTCGTTGTTTTTTCTGGTGATGTATCACTTGTAACTCTGCAGCCTACTGCAGCTGCAGGGCTGGGGCGAGTGTAGGTTGGTGGAGTTCTGCGGCCCCAGATTGAAAGCTTCCTCCTACCACTTGCTTGTGAACTTTCACTTTAGCCCAGTTGTACTAAACTCTCAATAAATTCAGGTATGATCCAAATTTACCTCCCCACTCTTACATACGATTGCTCTAATCACAATAATAAAAAGCTTTTCCAATAGCCACTGACCACACTTGGCATTTTTATCATTAACATTTTACGGTTTGAAACCATCTGCCTTTCCAGACTCCTTTAGAAACTGAAAACATCAGGCTACAAATGAAAGTATTTCCACATGCCTACCACCATCCTAATTCACCTCCTGAAAAACTGAACTCAATATTGCATTGCTAGTGGTTTCACACCTTCCTCTTATCTAGGGAGTACTGACCTAGTGATTTTGAAGTGATTTTAGACACTCTCTAAGACAACTCAGAGAAGAACCTTGATTTTTGGTGGCAGCTTGCTTTCTTTCTCTTTAAGATTGGCTGGGCAGAATACTCGTACTTTTTGCTTTTGCTTTCAGGACTGGCTTCTTTAAATCAGAGAGCAAATACAGTGAAGCGATCCACATTTCAAATGTGCATGACATTGCCCTGTGATTAACTACACTCTGAACTCAAAAGATCCTTTTGAAAAGCACTTCTTTATTGGAGTCCTGCTGTCAACTAAATAAGTAAATAATTGCTCTCCCTACTCTCAGAACTGAGATAGGAGCGTCACTCCTGGGCAACTAATATGGGGCTGCATTTTAACCCCTCCATTTTTCAAGTGATGCACGTGGGTTTAGCTGCATGACTTCCATTAAAGTTATGGTGAGTTATGTGCCTAAAACGCAGTGCACCACTTTGAAAGGTATTGAGCTGCAGTTTTTGGAGGCAAGAAACAAACAAAGACCATCTACTGCCCTGAGTCAACCTGGAAATCCCAGCAGAGAAAAGGAGCTTCTTGTACAATATGCTTGTGAGTACTAGTTCTTATACTATGCTCCTGACCTTACTATTCTGCCATCCCAGTAATCTCTAATGAAAGGCCCTAGCTGTAGATCTGGGGTCAATTCTCTTTCTACCTCTTTCAGATGGAAGTAACATTTGGTCACTACTACCAATTCTCTCTCATGCTGAGACTGTGTGGCCTAGTGGAGAGAATGCAGGACTAGAACTCAGGAGACCTAGATTCTAGTCCTGTCTGTACCACTGACCTGCTAGGTGACTGATCAAGTTGTTATGGGAATAATTATATTGATCTCCTTAGTTAAGCACTTTGAGAACAAATGATGAAAAAGCACTACATAAGTGCTAGGTGGTATCAGCTATTCTGGTGTGCATTTGTAACAACACAATGATAAATGATATATTTTCTCATCTGCACTTTACCTGTTTGTTCTTTTAATGCTCTGTGGTCTGGATTTACAAATGAAATCCAGGCTTGAGCAGCTTCTGGCTTCTTTTAAATAAGGGGTTCTCATCTTGGGAGTTGCAACTACTAGAACAGGGATAGGGACTGTCACAAACAAATGTTGGGATCACCATCACCCCATCCTTCCCATGTTGCTAAATGGAGATTTCAGCTAGATGGGAAGGGGGCCTAGGATGGAAAAGAGGGAGAACCGCTGTTTAAATTCAATGAGTGTTATATCATCATTTTCAACCACATTAAAGTCAGGGCTTCACTTGCATTTACAGGAACCTGTGGTATCAGTTTCCCACCCCCACTCCCTCCCCAAACTGAGGCAAGAGAAAAAACAGAGTCTGCCCAATGGGCCATCATATATGGAGATCCAGTCACTGAAGTTCCATACATCTGTAGGTGGTCTTGCACTGGAATAGACACAGTATATGTGCTAGTGGCTTCGCATTCCAGAACGGGAGGAAAGCAGAAGTCTATACCCCAACAAGCTCAAGGTGAGCATTGAGGTGCACTGGCCGAATGGTTTTGGAGACCCAGGACTGGAATAGCATAGAGGGTTGTGCTGCATTGGCAAGTTTGCATCAAAGGCCCAGCAGAAGAGGAACACAGACCAGCACTTACATGCTACAATGACCAGCGCTCAATTAATACTTTAGATCGATTGGGTTGGGAAACATCGATGGGGGGAGGGATAGCTCAGTGGTTTGAGCATTGGCCTGCTAAACCCAGGGTTGTGAGTTCAATCCTTAAGGGGGCCACTTAGGGATCTGGGGCAAAATCAGTCCTTGGTCCTGCTAGTGAAGGCAGGGGGCTGGACTTGATGACCTTTCAAGGTCCCTTCCAGTTCTAGGAGATGGGATATCTCCATTAATTTATAACTCTTGGGTGGGGGGGGTGAGATTTGAAAGAGTAGTGGGCTGTAGTGTAGGACCAAGATCCAAAGGGAGGACTGGGACTGGCAGAGCAGAGAGAGGTTAGATCAGGAAAACAGGTGCAGTAGCAGAGCTCTGTAATCTTCAATGCCTCCTGCCTGCACATTGTACTTGTGGTTATAACCCATCTATGCAGGACGGAGGAGCAAATTCACCCCCCCAGCTTGAAGTTTATTTTAGAGCATATATAATTACATGTTCAGTATGCAAGCCTCAAATCTGAAATAAATATATATATAGAGAGAGATTGAGATTAAAAATAATCTACAATATAAAATTATATCAGGATATTTAACATTTTTTTTTATAAGACAACGTATTCCTCTAATTGTGCATTTCATACAGATCATTAAAATGTAGCAGGGCAGAATTCAAATCTCACTTATCACATTGGGGTCTTTCCCACACAAGGAAACAAAGCGACATTCCCTAGGTTTGTACAAAGTCACACATAGCTCAGACACAATTTGATGCAGAATCATCCCTGTTCCTCTACAGCAAGAAATTAAAACCTGCACACGCTCGCATCAAGAGCTACACACATATGGGCAGACTTCATCAGTGTCTGTGCACCTGACAGGTAACAGCCAATGGAGATGGACATGGACATGAAGGCTGGGGAAGTTCTGGTCAGGAAATGAGCTTTGCAGAGAGGCCAACAACAGTAACCAAGTTAGTTTGTGCTTTATTAGAAACGAAAGAGCCAGATCCCACAACATTGATAACAAATGGGAATTCTGCCATTGACTTCAATGGGAGCAGGATCAGACCCCAAGAAATGGGGGGCGTGGGGAAAGGTTTGCTAAATGGAGACAGGAAAAGGCAATAAGAAAATATTATTTCTTTTATTTTCAAGCGTATTGGACAGTGGAACACAAAAGATAGAAGAAGCAGCTGACACTGTCCTCCAATGGGCAAAACCTCACGAGGTTCTGACTCTGGGTCCTGGTCAAAAAAAATGCACCCAAGAGTCCAGCTGCTCACACAGATTAGCCTGATTGGAGTTTGCAGAATCTGTCGAGGGCAGGCTAAGTGGTGCGTAGCTGAAGAGCGGCAAGCCCTGCCTTCGGATGTACCTCTCCGGGGGCCAGCTCATGTCCTCCAGTTATTCAAGAAGAATGGAGGGGGCACCAGCCTGGACCTGCAAGGATGGTTTTGTATTGTACTGCTATGACACAATAGAACCCGGGAAGGGAGGTAGGTAACTACTGAAGGGCCATAACTTGTTCACCTTCCTCTCATCAGAACCCATATTTAAGTCAATGGACCATTCATGTCATCCAAACAGGCTCCTGAAGCGTGATAGATAGAGACAGGATATGAATCAACTTCTTCCAATATCACTGCGTAGCCTGGCGCAAATGCACAGTACAGCCATATAAATACCTCTCGAGTTCTAACTCTCAGCGTTGCCATGAGTAAGCAGTCTAATGAGCACTCCCACAATTAGGGCTAGGCTATGATCTTAATCACCCTGGTGAAAATCAAGCGTACCAGACCCAAACCTTACTGTGACCTGTGTACTATGCACACGCCCCGGCATGCCCAAAGCACTGCACATGATTCCCATTGGCAGCACGACGGTGGCACATGTGAATTCTCAGTCGTCATGGTGAGCAGAGATTCTTTTTTTTTTTTTTAAATCCTTTAGAGTCTTCCACACAGATGTTGAGGTTTGCACATCACAAAGAACTGCCACCAACACCAGAACACAAGCCTCTCTTATTGATAGGGGAGATTCCATTGGATCAGCGAATATTATTCAGAGATTCAACGTCCTCCTTTCTGACCTTGAAAATAGGACATCAGCCCGTGTAGTTTGTCGCCGTGAAGGAAGAGGGACCTTGTTGGACCTCGTGTGGATCCTCAAAACATACAAAATAATTACCCTAAAGTTTCAAAATATTTTTTAAAAGAAGAAACAGTTCCATGCTGTATCACTGGGCCCGATGCTGGAATTGCAACTGAATACATGGTCTCGGATGGGTGGATCAGACGACTAATTTTTGCACTCAGTGGCACTACTGGGCAAGCAGCTTTGAGACCCTGGAGAAGAGGATGGAATTGTAAGAGTCAATATTTCAGTGAAAGAAACAGACAAATGTAATGATGGGAGGAAAAGCAGCCAGCTAGATCATCCAGTCTCCCTCCCAACCTAGGCAGGATTGTTCCACTACAGCAGTGGTCTCCAAAGGGGAGTGCGCAATGGAATCCTGGGGGATGCGCGGCAGGAGGAGCGCTTTTGTTTTTTTGCTTTGGCAGTTTGGGCGGGCGTCCGAGCGGCTTTTAAAATACCAAAGGATGGGACCTTCAATTCTTCCCATGGGACACTATTCCACAACCTATGCAATCTCACCTTTGGGAAGTTTTCCCAGATATCCAGCCTAGATTTCTCTTTCCTAACTGTCTCTCCTAACTATACAACTGTGTCCTGCACTTTGTCTGTGCAGCGTGTCAGTCTGCACAAGTGTGACGTGCACTAACTGGGCTGTGTGGACCCTGCTGACACGCACTAAAAGTTCCCTAATGAGCACTGACATAGTTGAAACCGGACTACATTAACACACACTAGGGACCTCTGAGTGCACACTAGCAGGGTCTCCCCTGGGCAGTTAGTGCACAACATGCTGGTGAGGACTAGACCCTACACCTCACTGGTGGGGCTAACGCAGGCCCCAAGTAATTCCTTTTCAGAATGAAAATACTTACAGCTCAGGCTAGTGATGTATTAAACTGTAACCATCAATCGTAGCGTAATCAGGGTCACCTGTAATATAGAAATCACAATAGTAACACTTGGCTGTTACATAGCACTTTTCATCCATAAAGCTCAGAGCACTTTACAAAAGAGGTTGCTAGCATTATCCCCATTTTTACAGTTGGGGAAACAGAAGCAGACAGAGATAAAGCGCTTGATCTAGGTCACCCAATAGGAAGTGGCAGAGCCAAGAACAGAACCCAGGTCTTCCGAGTCCCAGTCCAGGGCCCTCTCTACTAGGCCACACTGCAAATAACAAAATTGATGGTTCCCAAGTAGAGAAGAGCCCAAGCTGCAGCCTTTCAGGTCCAGATCTTGCCTTCTTAAAGTTCAGGACTGTCCATATCCAGGACTTTGCTTGGAACTTCTTGCTGGGTGAACTCCTGGCCCCATTGAAATCAGTAGCAAAACTTGAATTGACTTCAATGGAGCCGTGATGTCACCTTCTATTTCTAACAGAAGCTTACAGGTGCCTGGAACAACATTTTCAGAGATATCATAGAATATCAGGGTTGGAAGGGACCTCAGGAGGTCATCTAGTCCAACCCCCTGCTCAAAGAAGGGCCAATCCCCAGACAGATTTTTGCCCCAGATCCCTAAATGGCCTCCTCAAGGATTGAACTCACAACCCTGAGTTCAGCAGGCCAATGCTCAAACCACTGAGCTATCCCTCCCCCCAATGGCTAGAATGATCAGGGGGATATGAGAACCAGGCAAGATCACCAATATTTACATGGCAGTGGAATTACACACAGAACCTGCAACACCTGCAAAAATGGAAATACAGAGAGGATTGCACAAAAAAATACTTTAAAATGTGTGATTTCTAGAATGACTTGGTGTAACTCACCTGGCCCACTCACAGGGATTGGTAATGGTCCTCTCCTGCACAAAAACAAACAAGACAACACTTGTCTCTTTGTTGCTAAATAATCTGATTCTTTCATATTATTCAATTCTTGCCCGGCCCCACATGGCATTTCTGGTAGATTGTGAGTGCCGAGAACTTTGGCTGGTTTGAGGTTTGCAATGTCCCAGTTTCAAAGTGTGCCATATTATTAATCTCTTGCAATGTCATTAGCAGCGGACAAGACGCAAGAACCAGGCAGCCCCCGTCCCACCAGAGGGTAGTTTTTGTGGTGGGGTGGGGAAGAAAAGCGGTGGCTAGCCACAGCCCTTCACGGTGTGAACTGTGGGGCTTCACGCACAAACATGCCATCATTTAGACAGTTCAGTATTCCAACCCCAGCTATCAGGTAGTTATTATTGTGACTGACTCCTACTGCAAAGCAGCCATGGACATTAGTCTTCAGTGATGACAAGGGTGCTCTCAGTTCCTTTTCTCTCCCCACAGCAGACCCGTCCTTCATCCAGAGCCCAACTCCCCTCTTGGGTCAGCAGATTCCCTTGCTCTCCCAGTGCAGCTTCTCTCCTTTGCCCACATGAGCATGGGTTCTTAGATGATCCAGCCCTCCCCAGACAAACATGGGGAGAAGGGAGCCATGCAAGGAATACAGGAAGGTTTCCAGCAGCAGGGACGGGCTAGGGAGCAAAGGAGGTGGCAAACCAGTGCCCAAGATCTCAGAGGGTTTCCTGGTACAGAGGGGGACTCAATCCAGGCAAAATTCCCAACTGACCATATACCCCAACTCCCACCAACTTCTATGGGACCCTGAAAGAACCTAAGATCCAAACAGTTCCAAAAGACTTAAAGAAGCAACACCCATTTTTAACCTATAGGTTCCCAATAGCCAGGCCATTGCTTTTATTATTTGGTTTGTGGTGGGTTTATTTATTCTTACCTCCCTATCCCAGGTGCTGGGGCCTGATTTCTTGTTGAAGTTGTATTTCTTTGTGTGTTATAGTAATTTTCATAGATCACAGGAGCTGGGGGGGTGGAAATACAAGTCAGCTGTAAAAAATGTTTTTGTGAGCCGTTGGCATGCAATGTACAGCATCACATCTGCACAACGGGAGATGCAAATTCCTTCTTCAGCTCCATCCCTTCCACGCTGAAAAAACTGTATTATTAGAAACCAAAGCCTACAGAAATGAGGTTTGAGTTCTTTTCAGGGTCTGGTGGCAATTGCCTGCTATCCCGGTGCAAGGATGCCACTCTAGAAACAGGCTTCATTTTGAGACCAACACAGAACCAGAACCATCAAGCGTGCTTGCTTTCTGCACCAAGCTTTGTTTAATAAAACCCATACCCTTACTAGAGCCGAGAAGCTGTACAGAATGCTGATGGCCACACCGCTTAGAAAACCTACATCAAGCAGTTACCTGGGGGCATACTTCCGGTTTTACGGAAATTGACAAAAAATTCGATATCCTTCTCGATGCTGCACATTTCTAGACTCCGCCGGGTTTCTTCGTATCTCTGTAAAAAGGAAAAAAAGGGGTTTTTTAAAAAAGCATGAAGTGCAGAAACAAAAATTAATTTGTCTTTCTGGAAGGAGAAAGGATATAATTTGCATCAGCAAAATAAGTGTCAATAATACAAGAGGTGAAAATCTTGGGCCCAATAAAAGCAATGGGAGCTTTTGCCATTGACTTCGTTGGAGACAGGATTTCAAATCCTGTTCCACACTATTGACTGGGTGTTCGTTATTGCTATCTGCGGGATTATCTATGAAAATATCAACAAAGCTAAAGCTGTGCGCAGACCACCCTACCTGAACTAGCTTGAAGATAGCAAGCCCAGGTAACAACAGCAGTGAAGACAGTGCAATGCGAGTGAAGAACCTTCCCCTTCTGCTCGGCAAATAAAAGGTTTGGAGGGGCTTGGGTTTTTCAGACCTACCTCATCACTCTGGACGCACTCCTGAGAGAGCTGGTTAAGGTGTAGCCACAGCGCATTGCGGAAGTAGTTTATCCGTTCGTACTCCTGGGTCTCAAGGAACTGAAGAGATACAGGGAGGCAAGTCAGGGTATGTTAACAAAATAACTAACGGCCACGTTCCCAGCCAGCTGGGATTAGTCGTGGAAGTTGGAAAAGGGGAAGACATACATCATCTAGGCGACCTCCCTGCCAATACAGGTTTGGGCCATATTGGACCCATCCTAGTGCTTTGCTAGTCCTTTCAAACGTTCTAAGCAATGACCTGACCTTGGGTCTAACTTCACCACTTCTTGGCATTTTGGCCTTAATCATCCCTCTCTGGGGGAGTCTATCCTACCTTCATACAGGGCTGGGCTTAGTCTAATGAGTCTTTTCCATCTCTAATTGCTACCATCCTTGATTCTTTATGAGAAAAACAGATTAACAGCCAGCACTACATGGTATTAAACAGAAGCCTGCATCAAGGCAGGATCCACCAGGTCCAGTTGGTCCCGGCACTCTGCTCCATCAGGATTTGCACATTTTCTGAAGGGACCCCTTCCCCTCCAGATGAGTCTTCAACTTTCCCTTTGGCCCCATCTCATCCACACACAGCCCACCTTAAGTGAGATCATCCTGCCTGAAACATCGGCTGGCCAAAAGTTGCAGGCTAAACTTAAAAGGGAAGCTCAGTCAGGTTATTAGGTCCTGTTGCACCATGGTGGGAGGACTGACTCCAGACGCTGACACCTGCGGACGGTGGGGAGGCAAGCCAGCTAGCCAATGCACTGTTTGGTCACCCCTTGATTTAGTGATTCCAGGCCACTGCTCTCATCCCTACACCCAGACCCACACCCACGTTTGGATCATTCCGATGGGCATGGAACAGTCTGGATGCTCCTCAGAGCCCAAACCTTCTGAAGTCTGCCCTTCAATATGTATTCATTCCACCAGGAAGAGTCCTTTTCACATTTCCACGGACAACAAGTAACCTCTCACCAAGAGCACACATTTAATCGGCAGGACCTTTTGTAATGGACCTGCGGCAGAACTTCCGTACTTGGCGCGCCTAATCAACACAACCTGACTGATGTGAGGAAGTGTATCTTTGTTTACCACTCCTCACTATCAGCCTATGGGTTTTCATTACACTGAGCCATTGACAAGTTTTGGATGGGCAAAGCACACGCAGGCAGGTCATTTCATCTTAAGAAACCAAAGCAAAATGGAAGAACGAGCAGAAGGGGTCAGCATTAGGGAATGGGCTGAGCTGAACTCATAATAGTACTTCCCTTTTAGAGCCCTTTTTAATCCAGAGATCGCAGAGCACTGTACAAAGGACATCAGTATCATCATCCCTATTTTACAGATGGGAAACTGAAGCACAGCGCGATGGCACGACGTGCCCGAGGTTACCCAGGAGGCCAGTGGCAGAGAAGGGAATAGAACCCAGCTGCTCTGCCTAGAACAGCAGTGTCACCGATAGAAAATGCAATATATTGATGCTTAAGCAACGTGACAGGATCATAAGTGTGTCGGAAACCTCAAGCTTTGCCCAAGATGACTCACGGAGTTCTTGGCTGAATTGGGGAGAGAATTTAGATATGAGTCTCGGTCTGGTGCCATCCATCTCTCTCATCGTAAATGCATGTGGTGCAAAGGGCCTGATTCTCCTCTCACTGACACGTGTTATGCTGCTGTAGGAGCTACTCCTGATTTTATACCAGTCTAAGTGAGAGGAGAAACAGGCCAAACATCCCTGGCTGAGAAGGTTTGCAGTATAAGGCAAGATATGACCTGACAAGGAGTGCCATCAAGCCTCAGGGAAAGTACAAAGGTGACAGCAATAAGACCATGCAGCTCATTTCTTTGAATAGAATATGGAAAGAGTTTATGGGCTGCTCAGAGAAATAAAGTAATAAAGGCAAATCTTCATCTCCCTGAGCCTGTCCATTATTGTATTATATAAGCTAAGGTTCCGTCCAGTAGATGGCAGCACTTTGCATACAAAGACGCCAGCGCAAAAAAATGCCACTATTTTGCACGCTGACACTTGAAGGCTTTCCAATATATTTCCCTACTTTTAAATGCCAATTTTGGGGGCTTTGTATCCAGACACTAAGAGGCAGACACATGCAAGTTTAATTGGGAAGCGTCTGGAAGTTTTACCAATAAGGAAACAGAAGAGGCCAACTGTGGCCCCTCACTAGCATTGGCAGTGAAGGAAATGAAATCCCAATTTCAAAGACAGAGTGTTGCAGCATTAAGATCCTCCATTATCTCTAGGATGGATGGCAGGCTTTGGTGTGTTACCTCGCAGGCTTTGGTGTGTTCATTCTGCCATTCTTCCCTGATCTTCTCAAGCGCACCAACATTCAGCTGATATTGTCTGTCTGATAGGGAAATCCAACAGCAATTTGATCACATGTACAACACACAGGTCTGGAGGCATGAAAGACTCAGGTAAACAATTCTAAACACTGATCAGAATATGTTGGACCCTGGGTTTAATTTGGGTCTAGAGCATGTAAAATGAGTTTACATAAGAAAGGCCATACCGGGTCAGACCAAAGGTCCATCTAGCCCAGTATCCTGTTTCAAACTCATTTCAAAGGATCAAATTGTTTAAATTATAACAGAGACACTTTCACCTAGAAAAGCGAAGATCTTTCAACCAGTTCTAAGTAGCAGCTGCTCTTAATTGTTAAAAGATCAAATACAAATAGAATATTTCAATTACATCATATCATATTATGACATGACAGCAGTGGTAGTGAATATTACGCACTACTTTCACTGACGTGTCATGAAACAGCATTATACAAATATTCAAAACTCAAAATACTAAATGATATTTTGAAATCCCAAAATGAAATAACAAAAAAAAATCCCAAAACTGACATTTTTGAGAAATTCCATTTGGTGGGAAATTTCAAAAATATCTGTTTTCCTTTTGAATCAGAACAAAAAGAAATCGAGGTGTTGAAATTTTCTGCAAACCAGGAACTACAAGTTGCAGCCAGTCCTAGTCCGGACAATGCCGCACAAACAAGAAACTCTTGACATTTTCCAAGACAAACATATTCCAAAATGGAAATCTTTTTATTTCAAAATATTTTTTTTCTGCTGAAATATTTGTCACAATCAAATAAAACGGTTATTCCAAAATTATTCCCAGTATGACACAAATGGCATTTTCCATCAAAAAAAAAGTTTCAACTAAACATTTCCAATCAGCGCTAGCTGGGACATGGTCTCATCACAAGGAGACAATGAGCCATCAAGACATAACGTTTGACTTCCTGGGGCAAATGTATCCAGCGTATAACTGTGCAACCCACTGTTTTAGGAAAGAGAGGTCTAACCAGTCACCCCAATACAGCACTTGTGTAATGGGTTCCTCTCCATCCCATCCCCTACCTGCAGCCCCCAGCGTGGCCCAGCCCCTCCAAATGTAACAGATACTCCATGTTATCAGCACTCACCAGAATCTTCCAGAGCTGACTTGCTCTGAGCCAACTTTACAAACAGCTGAAAAACAGAAAGATAAAGAGGTCATTGTGAGACAACAGCTCAACCCACAAACACTGCAGAGAAAGTAAGATTGGGCCTCATTTCTATCCTGCAAATCCATCCTTAACCAGTGGGTGAAGTCAAACCACCAACCCAGATTTCCCCCCCCTCCCCCCCAAGCTCTGTGTCAGTGATTCCTCACTAATGGTTCAAGTCTTCCATGCTGGCTGTCAACCATCAGGCCTTCAGCTAGCTACCAAGTACCCAGAACCACCTTTGAACTCCTGGTGATTCTGCTATCAGAGCTTCTGTGCAGTGAAAGGGGGCTCTCCTGTGTAAATCCAACTGCAGGTTCAGGGTCCCTGTTTGGCAGGTTTCTTAGAAACTGTAGCCACTATCTTTAGTTCTAAAATGACTATAACAGGGTTCAAAAAAGAACTAGATAAGTTCATGGAGGATAGGTCCATCAATGGCTATTAGCCAGGATGGTGTCCCTAGCCTCTGTTTGCCAGAGGCTGGGAATGAGCGACAGGGAATGGATCACTTGGTGATTACCAGTTCTGTTCATTCTCTCTGGGGCACCTGGCATTGGCCACTGTCGGTAGACAGGATACTGGGCTAGATAGACCTTTGGTCTGACCCAGTATGGCCGTTCTTATGTTCTTAATGGTATTTTTTCCTGGAGGTGATTTAGTTGTTGAACAGTACCTAAAGCAGGACAGGAAAAGTGCCTTCCTTTCACCCTCCCTGTGTTACCTTTTCTTGTTGCTTTTGTGTTACAAGGTTTGCATTGCGGTGCACGGCCTGTTCCGCTTCATCTTTATCCCTGCATCGCTGCTCATACAGCCTCTTTGCCTAGGAGAGAGGTGGGTATGTAAGCGAGTAGGAAATGCAACACAACACACACACACACACACACCTGTTGGATCAAATCCTGCACTCACGTTAAGGATTCTATAGGATCTGCCACATACATTACTGGAACTTCAGTTCAGTATCCTGCCTCTGGTAGCCACCAACAACTGATGCTTCAAAGGAAGACAAGCCCCTCAAATGAAGGCAGCCAACTGTGCAATGCTGCGTATGTAAGGACACCTTTCCTTCCTGACCCGAGATTGGTTTATGTCCTGAAGCATGAGATTTGATTACCCACATCACAGCCTGAATAACACAGCTGGCCCCACATTCATTTTCCTCCCACACTCTTTGCATTTGCTCTGTAGCTCCTGGTCTGCATGTCACTCGCCAGGTGCAGAACAAAAATACAGTAAATACAAAGACAATGAAAAGATTTGGTGGCTTAGTCAGCTTCAGTGCTTGGACACAGGACGTGTACTCATGCAAATACGATTCCCACTGTTTAACCATTCCAACACAAAACTATTGTAGGTAACACAGACAGTGTTATATTTCTAATGTGCCTGCATGCTACAGATCTGTGGCCTGTAAGAACCAGATGATAGGAGCCACTTACCTCCACTGTTTTCTTGTACTGCAAATTCCTATTTTTATGAATAGCATCCATTACAAGCTCCAGCTGTGAAGGGAACAACACCTGCATTAGTGCACCCTCCAGCCCCAGGAGCCCCGCAAGGACGAAAGCTGCCGAGGAGCTTAGCGGCTAGGACAGGTGATAGGTTCCCAGTTCAAGTCCTGCCTTGTGTGTGTCAGACAACATCTCAGCAATGTGAGACCAGCAAATCTCATAACAATATACTGCATCACATGACCAACACCCTTCATGACTAGGGCCCTACCAAGTTCACGGCCAGAAAAAATGTGTCACGGACCATGAAATCTGGTCTCCCCCCGTGAAAGCTGGTCTTTTGGGTGCTTTTACCCTATATTATACAGATTTCACAGGGAAGACGAGCGTTTCTCAAATTGGGGCTCCTGACCCAAAAGGGAGTTGCGCGGGGGGGGGGGGTTTGCAAGGTTATTTTAGGGTGGTCACGGTATTGCCACCCTTATTTCTGCGCTGCCTTAAGAGCTGGGCTCCTGGCCAGCCACCGCCGCTCTCCAGCTGCCCAGCTCTGAAGGCAGCGCCACCACCACCAGCAGCGCAGAAGTAAGAGTAGCTATACTGCAACCCCCCTGCAATAACATTGCAACCCCCCCACACACACAAACTCCTTTTTGGGTCAGGTTCCCTACAATTACAGCACCTGACATTTCAGATTTAAATAGCTGAAATCATGAAATTGACCAAAATGGACTGTGAATTTGGTAGGGCCCTATTCACGAGGTCTGGCAACCTCGGTGAGCCCTCTCCCTCCTGTTTGGTATAAACTTTAACTACTGATTAACTATTGTTATCCTTCCTTTTACAGACAGAGGGCAAACTAAGACACAGAGGAGTTAAGTGGCTTGGCCCAAAGCCCCACAGGAAAGAGTCAGGAATAGAACCCAGCTTCCCTGGATCCTGCACATAATACAGCCCAGTAAGGGCTTGATTTTCAGATGTATTTAGGGTGACCAGATGTCCCGATTTTATAGGGACAGTCCCGATTTTGGGGTCTTTTTCGTATATAGGCTCCTATTACCTTCCACTCCCTGGCCCGATTTTTGCACACTTGCTGTCTGGTCACCCTAGATGTATTCCAGCCCACAGTGAGAACAAAGGCAACTACTGGGTACTGTGTGTGTCTGAAAACCTGGCCAGAGACCACAGCTGCCCCGTTAAAAGCAATCGTACGTTGTAAAGATCTCTTGCCAAGCTCTGAAGCTCAGGGAGCAGAAAGGGCCCAGGCGCAGCTTTCGATGGACAGAAAATACAAAAAGGATCTATTTTTCCTAAAAGGAAGCGTAGGAACCCAAAGGCAAACACATGCAGCTTGAATGAGGAAGTTGTAAGTCACCACACTCATGCACTCTGATGCAGTGACAGCATTTAGGAATGAACTCTGGACTTCCCAGAGCAGCAGGGAGTTCACGGGCGAGGGAAGGGGAGGGTCAGAGAAAGAAAACCCTTACCCCAGCAGCCAGCATATACACCGAACAGGAAAGCTTGGGCTCTTTCACAGCTCCCAGGCCCAGGTGGAAAGCTAAGGAGCTGGCCGTTTGGGGTCATTAAAGATCCCACAGCACCGTTTGCAGAAGTTAAGATTTTAATCCTGGCATTCTGGCCAGATTCCAGCTCACAGAATCACGGGACGCCTTCCCAACTCCTGACCTTTTTCTGATGACGTTTTTGCTTTTCCCTGAAGTCCTCCATCTTCCTTGCCTCTTCCCGAAGGGTCTGGGCCAACTGAATGTGACTCTGCCCTACGCCATCTACCTCTGCAAGTGAGGAAACAAAAAACCCACATGCTCACAAAGACGGTCTTGACTGGAGTCACTTGTGTTATCTACCACAACACTAGGCAGCATTTCTAAAACACCTTTTCAGAGTTTCAACTAGAGCCAAGCAAAGTTCTTCAGGCAAATGGCAATTACCTGGGATCTGGGAGACAGGTTCAAATCCCCCCCCCCTGCTGATGTGGAGAAGAGAGTTTAATGTAGGTCTCCCACACTGTAGGTGAGTGCCCCAACTACTGGGTATGGGATAGCCTAGTGTGGGGCTCTCTCAATCTCCTCTGTTGAAACTGTTACTGTGTATAAAATACATGAATAGTCACTGGGCCAGAGAGAGAGAGAAAAAGTGAGACTAACTCAACAGCTGGTGATTGGAGCACTTACCTGTGAGACCCAAGTTTGTATCCCTGGCCAACGGGCAAGTTGTTTGGTGAATCTAACCCTTCGTTTCCTTTGCTTTTTACGTGGACAATGTGCCCGGAAATGAACCAGTTCATTCTGGGTTGAACAAAACATTTAGTTCAACCCACAGTGGCATTTTTGTGGACTTTTGTGACCTTTTTTTGGAAATTTTCAGATTCGGTCTGTATTTTTTTTTTTTTTTTTTTTTGGTAACTGCCAATAAACTGAAAAATCAGTTATTTGCCCAGCTTTAGCTGCACCATGCTTCATAGACATCAAACCCTAGGAACATCCCTGTAAGGTAGGTCAGCCTATTACGCCCACTTTACAGATCGATAAACTGAGGCACAGGGACAGGTGAAGGACTAGATTTAGATAACGGCAACAGTTAGCTTGAGTTACTCCTCTCAAGTTAGCCTAGCTCAAGCAAGAGCAGCCACACACTGCGAAATAACACTCAAGATCTGATTAACAGTGCAGAGCAACTGCATTAGCAGAGTGATAACCTAGGCTCAAAATTGAGCTGTAGCCAGGAGCTGTGTCCCCACTACATTACTCAAGCTTCACCCACGCCCTCTCACAGGCCAGCTAAATGGCACCACCTAACTCAGCTAGAGACTTTTGTATATGAACAGGAGTCCAGTTAGAGGCAACACTTGAGTTATACCTCAAGCTGCAGTGAACACCAGCCCTTTAGTGTGGTGTCCACGGATTTGGAAGGGCCCAATTTGAAACACCTAGCACCTGATTTTCAGAAGCTTTGAGCACCCACAGCTCCCATTGATGAACCCTGAATCAGAAAATAAAAGACTCAAGATGGGTTTCATTTTATTATGAACCCCCTTGACTGGGTATTGGCCTTGCCTGGGGTTAGAGGTCCCCTGGCTTACAGGTGAAAGCCCTACGTAAAAGAATAAATGGACACAAGTCGGACATCGGGAATGGTAACATACAAAAGCCAGTAGGTGAACACTTCAATGTCCCTGGACATTCTACAACAGATTTAAAAGTCACTATTCTTGAACAAAAAACAAACAAACAAAACTTCAGAAACAGACTTCAAAGAGAAACAGCAGAACTAAAATTCATTTGCAAATTTTATACCATTAATTTGGGCTTCAATAGGGACTGGGAGTGGCTGGCTCATTACAGAAGCAGCTTTGCCTCTCCTGGAATTGACACCTCCTCATCTATTATTGGGAGTGGACTACATCCACTCTGATTGAATTGGCCCTGTCAACACTGGTTCTCCACTTGTGAGGTAACTCCCTTCTCTTCATGTGTCAGTATATAATGCCTGAGTCTGTAATTTTCACTCCATGCATCTGAAGAAGTGTTTTTTTACCCACGAAAGCTTATGCCCAAATAAATCTGTTCGTCTTTAAGGTGCCACCGGACTCCTTGTTGTTTAGATGAAAGTTTTGTTTTGTCCCAGAGGGCACTATACAGAACTACACCCAGAACTCTGACAATTGACAGCTTCTGTTCAAGACTTCCAGGACTGGAAGAGTCGGGGGCGCAACGGGTCAGGAGCCAGGTGCACCGGCAGAGTTTTGTGGGAAGTTAGGGTAAGACTGCGATACACAAGCTGCGCCTCGCGAGCGGCTCTTTAATGCGTCTCCTGCGGCTCTTTGCAACACATGATATTAAATCACTGTGTCATTTAATTATTAATCAATCAGGATGCTTTTACTGTGTCATTAAACCAATCAAGTGATTAACTTGCACTAAGTTATCAACTTATTTGCTGTGAGAATAAATATCTATATATAAACTAAATATTTCCCTGTCGTCGTGTTTACATATGAATAGTACTATAGTAAACGAAACAATGAATTCACACGACTGTGGCTCTTTTGGGCAATGTTGAACCCTAATTTGGCTCCTGGTCCACTGAGGTCTGAGTATCACTGCTTTAGACTGCTGAACAAAACAGCACGGGGTGGACCACAAAGGCTGGGTTTTAACTGACATAATTGGATGTAATTGTTTTCAAGTGAATTGCTGCCCCCTTAGATTTTTCACCCAGTGCAGTTCAAAACCAGGAAAATGTTGAAAGGCCAGCATGCTACATGACAGCAGCACTAGCCTCTACGAAGACATTACAATGACCTGGCTTGGGGGGGGTGCGCCACTGCCCTCTATTGGATGTAATCAGCATTGTGCATCTGTGTGTCATAGGTAGGGCCCTACCAAATTCACAGCCGTGAAAAACACGTCACGGACCATGAAATCAGACCTCTCCTGTAAATCTAGCTATTGGAGAGGCTTCTACTGTTCAACTGCTCCAGCTACTAGTCCACCGGCCTGGAGAGGGATGGGACTCCCTCTTCCCCTGCATGGCGCTCTTGGGGGGAGATCAGACCCACTTCTGGGACCTCCCCTGGCTGCAGGAAGCTCCATGGCTGTACCTTCCGAGCCCAGCTCTGGAGGCAGCACAGAAGAAGTGAGGGTGGCAATCCCGTGACCCCCCCTATATAAGCTTTGTGACCTCCCCTTCCCCAATAACCTCCTTTTCGGTCAGGAACCCCACCATTACAACACCATGAAATTTCAGATGTAAACATCTGAAAACGTGAAACTGACCAATTTTAAAACCCTCCAGCAGTGAAATTGATCCAAATGGACCGTGAATTTGGTAGGGTCCTAGTCAGAGGCAGGAGAGCTGGTCAGGAAGAGGCTGACAAAACATTTTTTTCATCAGAATTTGAAGATTTATCTAAACATTTCACAGACATGGTTCGATTTCAACAAAGTGAGGACAGAAACCTGCCTGATTTCCTGCCAGCTTCCCCCATCTAGCTCCTCTGCAACCCAGCTGGTGGGCTGCTGGGGAACTCAGCCTCCAGGATCGCAGCCCGCCTGGCAGACTGCCTGGAGGCTGGCGCTCCATTCCATTTGGCAGCAAATTTCAAAATTTCTGTTTTGGTTTCATTCTGATTCAGAAACAAGTTTCGAAATATCAAAAATCTCCCACAAAACGGAATTGCCTTTCCCTGCCCTGCTCTAACAGACGCCAGCTTGCTTGCAGTTCTCGCCCTACGGACGCCAGGACACGCCGAGCGCCTGCAGCATAGTGACAAGCGTGCCGTACCTAGAGCACCACAGATTTCCGGCAACACTATTGTGTTGTCACATTCTTTTCAGCCTCTTTCACTTCTAATAATGGGTGTTGAAATGCCAGCACTGCTATTCTTGCGCCACCAGCTTCCTCCCTTTCAGAGTATCTGCCGGGAAAGAAACAGTTATCACGAAAATAACTGCCCTGTCCACCTGGTGCCAGCCAGTTTTAAAATGCACGTTAGGACCCCAAGGCTGCATTAGTGGCTCTATCAGGCCAGTTACTTCAAATTAACCTCAACTGTTCTTAAGAGACAAGTTTGTCTCTAGAAAGAGACTTCCAAGCTCTCCAGTAGTGGTTGGAATGTGCTTAGAACGGAGCAGCATGAAGTACACCAAAAACCTTCCTGTAGGTTCAACTTTACTGTTCAATTCTCTAACCTGTCACGCCAGTTTTCCCACTGGTGTAACATCACTGAAGTCGAGGGAGTTACCCCTGATTTTATACGATTGTTAAATGGAATGCCAATCAGGCCCATTGGACACACACAAGGAAAACAACTTAACAGTAAACAGCATGAGAGCTGGCCAAAACTCTGGGTTTCAGCTCACAAAAAGTTTTGGTATTTGAGAATTTTGTTTCTCTCTGATTCAGAATTTACTGATATATTTTGCTAACTGACAAACCACAAATACCTGCATCTGGGAAACACTGAAATGTGGCCTTTTAGATACAAAACAGGTGCTATTCAGGGAGGGCAGCCCAGGGAGCCAGTTGGCCCAGGAGTCTGGAAGCCCTGGGCTCTTCAGCCCAAGCCCAAGCCATCTGGCCCAGAGCCACCGACACTGGAAGCTGGTTCCAGGAATTGCAGGCTCCCAGGTCTGCGGCAGGAAGCCTAGAAGCCCTGATGAGCCCCACCTAGAGCCATGGTTCTCAGGGCTTCCAGGCTGTGGAGCTGGGAACCACACTGCTACTAGACCCACAGCACCAAGCATTTTCATATTCCTGGCTCCAAGCAGGGAGTCTGGAAGGCCTGACATGGAGGGGCTGTCCCAAAGCGGTCACTGGAGCCCAGGCTCTTGAGTCGTTGACTCCCCGCTCCACAGCGGGGACCTTGGAGTCCCTGGCTCCAGCTGGGACTCACAAGGCTGCCTGAGTCTCTGTCACATAGTGTGGAGCCCAGTAGGCCCCGAGCAGTCTGCGTGGTGGGATTGTCCCAGAGCTGTGGACCCTGGAACAAGGGCTTCCCAGCAGCCCAGCAGGAAAACAGGCAGGTTTCCAGTAGAAAGCTCCCCGTGTCCCTATGAAAGTTTCATCTAACCTGTAATAGAGCTGGTTAAACACTTCAGTCTGCTGAATTGTTATTTTCCAACTAAACTTTGGTTTCATCAGAAAATTTCCAATCAGCACTTCACTGTAGTTTAACTAGTCTCTTTGATACGCGAAAGAAATGTTTCCTATCAAATCACGCCGCGTTGTTGTGTCCTGGGACTGACAGGGCTAGAAGAGAGACAAGGTGGGTGAGGTAATATCTTTTACTGGGCCAGCTTCTGTTGGTGAGAGAGAGATCAGCTTTGGCGCTTACGCAGAGCTCTTCTTCTCATATCAGATCAGTTATTTCTCTAGTGTTAAAAATTAACCACCACAGTAAGCAAGTTCTCTCTTTCCACCACCAGACAAAGCAATACATTGAGCTGTTACATACAGGATGATAAGGGGTTAGGTGCAGGCCAGAGAAAGACACGAAATATTTGGGCCAAAATGGAACAACCGAGCACAGCCACAAATGTAAATACAGACAACCAGGAGGAGATATGAAGCTGAACAGAATACAGAAGTGGAGGCACTTTGAATATAGCACTAATACGTCTCCTCCAAATCCCTTCTTAGACTCCCCACACTCCCATCAAAGACATTAGACAAATCAAAAGCTCAAACAGGGTATGTGCTAAACCACACTGCTCAGCAAGTCAGGTTGCTTTCTGGCACATCCCTGCTCTTCCCTCCAGGACTTTATCTGATCTATTTAGATGTTTAGCTTCTCAGGGACCCAGTAAGTATAATGCAAATTACGTTTTTTTGGGGGGGTGGGGAGGGACTCTATGACTAACAATGCTTCCAACTGATGGGGGGGTTTAAGCAAGTCAGTTCATCTCTCTCTGCAACAGCTTCGCAGTTTATGAACCATAGATTACACTTCCCTCTCTGATCTGCCCACAGGGCGTCTTTGTGAGGCTTCATTGGTTAAGGTTTGTAAAATGCTCTGAAGGTAACAGCGCTGTGCATCCTATAAGGGCACTATGCTCCTAGAAAGTATGGAGTGAAAGTAACTGCCAAGGAGATGAAAACAAACGAATGAAAAATGGGAATAGCTCACTGTACCCCCAGCTAATCGGATTTTACAGTCTATTTCTAAGGCAAACGACTGTACAGGTTTGCAGACTTTTGTATATACTTTTTTCAAACTGTCGTCCACAGTCGCCAATGCAGCCGGATTTCTTGACAAATACGAAGAATGATGTTAAGCAGTTACTTACGTTGCTTAAAACACTTCAAGAGCTCTCTTCAGGGTGCTGAAAAACACAGGCACAGAGTTACAGGGTTGGTGATAGAATTGTCAGATTCCCCCTGGCATGTAATGATGGCTTCGCTGACAAGGGCAAGATTCCCCCTTCGCTCTAACCTTTTCACATACTGCTCATACCCACTCAGTCCATCTTTCGAGATCACTAATGGGTTGTACGTGTATGTATATATATACACACACACACACAGTCAGGCTCAAACGGAGATTTGGGCTTTTCACCGTTCTGCCATTCAAGGACAAGATTTCATGCCCCTATGCAGCAGCACAGACGGTGGGGACAGGAGACACTATTAACATCACTACATAGGCCAACCAACTGGGCAGTTCGGGATGACATTCCTGTGACACCCGGGGCAGCTTTAACCCATGCTTATATTATCATCATCATTAATATTTGTTGGTATTACAGTAGGACCTAGAGCCTCCAACCAAGATTGGGTCCCACTGGTTTAGGCACCGTACATAAACACGGCCTCTTTCTGTGTTTAGGGCGGGGACTGTCTAAACAGACAAGACAGGCAAAGAAAGAGAGATGATCGCCATTTTGCAGATGGGGAGCCAAGGTGCTCTGACAGACATTACAAACGCAAAAGAACATAAAACTAGCTTGTTTGCTTTCATTCCACTTCCTTTTCTGTGACTGTAGCAAGGGTAGGCGGCAATCTAGCTAGCACAGGTCACAGTAGCAGTGCAGGCACAGACTTCAGCGTGGGCTAGCCACCCATCGGGGACCCTGGGTAAGCATTTGGGTTGCTGGCCTGCACTGAAGCCCATGCAACCAAGTCTACACTGCCCCGGAGTATATTTACGCTGCCCACAGCACCAAGCCTCCCAGCCCAGGTCTGCAGATGTGGGCTTGCACTACAGCCCTAAACATAGCTGGTAGAGGTTGTGGCTCAGGCTCAGAAGCCTAAGGTGCTGGGGGGGCAGAGGGGAGGCTTCTGACTGTGAGCTCCAGCTCAAGCCGCAACTTCAGAGTGCAGCTATTTTTACAGTGCTGGCGCAAGCCCAAGTGTGCAGACCAGGGCTGGGAGGCTCACTGCCACGGGCTATGGAGACAGACCCACTGTTACCCGGCTAGCACAGATATGCCTACCTGGGATCTAACTACACCTTCATTTGCAGCGTAGTTCTAGGGTACCCAAAGAGGAAGTGGAATTAGCATAAAGAAAGCTAGTTATATGTTCTCTTGCATTTGCAGTGTCTTTCAGAGCGTAGCAGGTTCAACCTAAACACCCCTTCACCACCCCTAACATACACATGTTGAAATGTGTCCCAAGAAATTGGACTCTTTTGGACAGTGAATTTCAGTGCTGAAATGTAGAGGAGATCTTATTTCCATTCTATACAAAGCCCAGATGCAGGAAGATGCAAGCAAGTAGAGAATACAGCCTTTCACATGCAGCCACACACCGCAGCTTAGGGAAGTGAAGAGATGTGTCCAAGGCCAGGCATGAAGTCAGGAAGAGAACCCAGCTCTCACGATTCCCAGTCCTCTACACTAGACCACAACAGCTAGTGTTGACTTCCTTTAAGTAGCGTTAATTTCTGATCATAGGAAGTTGGTTTAGTGGGATGCTAACATCAATGAATTACAATTACTGACATGTCTCTCATACACAAGACTCTGATTTTAGCCAGTCTCTTTCCAGTCATATCAATACTAATTTTAGCCTCCTTCTAACTTGCACTCCCTTTTTTGGATTCGACATTAGCCCCCGCCATCAGCGTTCCAAGTCAAGGTAGCTTTTGTTATGAACACAAATAGGAATGAGAACACACACAAGGATCTAAACTTACTTCAATTCTGTCTGCCCACAAGGCTTCTTCTTTGTCAGGTTAATGAGTTCTTTGCCATATTTTTCTTCTATAGTTGCCCTGTTGTGGAAAGAGAGGAGGTTAGAAGAAACTCACATGCCATGCAGATCTGCAAGGTGCTTGCTAGAAGGGTAAAGGCTGGAAGGAGAGGGTGCTAGAATGAAATGTAGCTCCCAAACCATCTACACACAAACTGCCTCGTACTGCCATACGGTGTCGAGCTGAGTCCTGACCTGGCCTAAGGGGTCGTGAAAGGGACTGCTAACTACTCTACCAGGTCTGAACCACCAGAGGGCTAATAGCTGAGGTTTGGCCAAAAATGGAAATGAAGTATTGTGAATTTCACCCTTTCACCTCCCAGGTTTCCAGCCAGCTGCTACAGACAGGCTGCACGTGGTTAGTCCAAAAGAGCAGCAGCTAAGATTATAGTGTCGCTGTTTACCCAACGCCCCCCCCCAAAATGCATTTTTCAGTGAAACAACAATCTGTCAAAAACAAAACAAAGATCACCCAATGCTATTTGCGAGTTCCTGGCTCCCAGACCTGTGTTCAGACTTTGCCTCCTTTGAAGCTCTAAGGACAGCTCCTCCTGTATTTGGGATTACCCTGGTGAAGTATACAAGGGCTACCTCTGTTAAGTGGATGGAAAATTTGGCCTTTAAGCTCCAGTGGGAGTTTTCCATGGATCAAGGTCTGTAAGGGATCTTTGGAATAAAACAAAAGTTTTAAAAACAAACATCTGAAGCAGGACCTTAGTCCTGGAGTTGTCACCCACCAAGTCAGCTGTTAAATATGGCATGTCCCAGAGGCTACGTGGCACTTCTGAGATATCACACTAGCCTCTTCTCTCTGGAGGAAGACAGAATTCGAACCCATGGCTAGACCACAGTAGTAGTGTTTGGTCACCTTATTCTAAGCCCAAATGGACATTTACAATTGCTATGAAATCAATACACATGCCCCAAGTGTAATAAAAATGTAAAGACCCACTGAAAATTAGGCAGCTATTTATATTTATCCTAATGCCTGCCAAAGCTGTGTCCTTACAATATCTGTCGTCTTTAATATCCTCTTGAATGGGGAGTCTAAAACCATCAGGAAATGCAGTGTGATGGGTACCACACAGTGATCAAAGTGTTCATGAAGAACTATGTGTACAGAGGGCTAAATATCAGAATTGTTTTCAGACTCACTTCTGCAACAATTTTCCCCTGAAAGGACAGTACAGTGAAAACCCGCTGTGATAGTAAATATAAGGAGGAGGGGGAAACAGAATGGCTCACAGTAGTTAATTGGAACAATGATGTGCATGATATAGACGTGCAAAAAGTCTATCTTATTACATCGGCCAGGCTGGGCTGATGAATTGAAGAATGAGGAGAAATATTGACCAACACCAAGAACAACTCTGTTATCCTTCGGTACACGAAGTAACACTTTCCACCTCTAAATCATCAAGCTTGACTGCAGATCGGGTTAGTGGCGAAAGAGAGCTGTTACTATCTGACCACCATTTGGTGGCCTATGTGAAATGGATCTCGGATTTCCATTCCAGTACGTTCGAGGACTGTATCGGGGATCACTTTTTGTTCCAGAAAGTGGAGGACACAACCAGGGGGACAGCCATTTTAGACTGGATTCTAACCAACAAGCAGGAATTGGTAATGAATCGGAAGGTGGAAGGCTATTTGGCTGAATGGGATCACGAACGGATAGATTTCATGATTTTAAGGAAAGGAAAGAGTGAGAGCAGCAGATAAAGGACAATGGACTTCAGAAAAAGCAGACTGCAATAAACTCAGAGAACTGGTAGGTAAGGTCCCATGGGAAGAAAATATACAGGAAAAAGAAGTTCAAGAGAGCTGGCAGTTCCTCAAGAAAACAACACTAAAGGCATAACTGCAAACTATTCTGATGAAAAGGAAAGATAGGAAGAATAGTAAGAGGCCAATATGGCACCATCAGGAGCTCTTTAATGACTTGAAAATCAAAAAGGAATCCTACAAAACGTGGAAGCATGGACAAATTGCTAAGGAGGAGTACGAAAGAACAACACAAGCAAGTAAGAAAAAAATCAAAAAGGCTAAGGCATAAAATGAGTTATACCTACCAAGGGACAGAAAAGGCAATAAGAAGAGGTTCTATAAATACATTAGGAGCAAGAGAAAGATGAAGGAAAGTGTAGGTCCTCTACTTAGTGGAGAAGGAGAGCAAATAACTGATCATCTCAGAAAGAAAGTGGAGGGGTTTAATGCCTATTTTGCTTCTGGCTTCACCAAAAAGGTTAATAGTGACCAGACACGTAACACAATATTAACAACAAAGGGGAAGGAACGCAAGCCAAACTAGGGAAAGAACGGGTTAAAGAATATTTAGCCACGTTAGATGTATTCAAGTCAGCAGGGCCTGATGAAATTCATCCTAAGGTAAATGAGGGCATGTCTACACTACAAACTTAAGTCGACCTAACATAGGTCGATTTACAGCCACTGCAGTAATTACTACCCTCGTTCGGCCGGTGGTGCGCGTCCTCACCAGGAGCACTTCCACCGACTTAAAAGGACCGGTGTGGGGGGCTGAGAGCCCTGAGAGCTCCTGGCTCCCCGCTCCCTGAACTATCTTTGAAAACTCCTCAAGGATGGTTGTGGTCCCAGGAGACTGGGGACAGGTCTATACTATGAACTTCTATCAGTATAACTATATTGCTCAGTGCTGTGAAAAATCCACACCCCTGAGAGAGGCAATTAGACCGACCTCACCCCCAATGTACACAGCGCTATGTCAACGGGAGAGTTTCTCCCGTCAAGGTAGCTACCGCCTCTTGCGGAGATGGATTAACTATGAGGATGGGAGAAGTTCTCCCATTGGCATAGTAGCATATTCTCTAAAGCGTCAACATAGAATCATAGAACTGGAAGGGACCTCGAGAGATCATCTAGTCCGGTCCCCTTCACCCGTGGCAGGACTAAGTATTATCTAGACCATTCCTGACAGGTGTTTGTCTAACCTGCTCTTAAAAGTCTCCAATGCTGGAGATTCCACAACCTCCCTAGGCAATTTATTCCAGTGCTTAACCACCCTGATAGTTAGGAATTTTTTCCTAATGTCCAACCTAAACCTCCCTTGCTGCAATTTAAGACTATTGCTTCTTGTCCTATCCTCAGAGGTTAAGAAGAACAATTTTTCTTCCTCCTCCTTGTAACAACCTTTTACATACTTGAAAACTTATCATGTCCCCTCTCAGTAGGGTGACCAGAATGCAAGTGTGAAAAATCGGGACGGGGATGGGGGGGGGGTGTAAAAGGAGCCTATATAAGAAAAAGACCCAAAAATCGGGACTGTCCCTATAAAATCGGGACATCTGGTCATCCTACCTCTCAGTCATCTCTTTTTCAGACTAAACAAACCCATTTTTTTCCAATCTTTCCTCCTAGATCATGTTTTCTAGACTTTTAATCATTTTTGTCGCTCTTCTCTGGAACACGCCCCGGAGAAGGGCAAACATAGTGCCTGTCTTTAAAAGGAGAAGCAAAGAGGACCTGGGGAATTACCAATCAGTCATCCTAACTTCCATAACAGGAAAGATACTGGGACAAATTATTGAACAATCTATTTGTAAACACCTGGAGATAATAGGGTTATAAGGAATAGCCAGAATGGATTTGTCAAGAAAAAAAAATCATGCCAGACCAACCCCATTTCCACAAACTGACTATGAGTCAACAATGTGATGCAGTTGTGAAAAAGGTTATCATCATTCTGGGGTGCAATAACAGGCGTGTTGTATAGTATATAAGACATGGGAGGTAATTGTCCTGCTCTACTCCCCACTGGTGAGGCCTCAGCTGGAGTACTGTGTCCAATTCCGGGCACCACGCTTTAGGAAAGATGTGGACAAATTTGAGATATTCCAGAAGAGAGCAACAAAAATGATAAAAGGTTTAGAAAACCTGACCAATGAGGAAAGTTAAAACAAGAACAAAAACTGAGCATGTTTAGTCTTGAGAAAAGAAGACCGTGTGGGGACCTGACAAGAATCTTGAAATCTGTTAAGGGCTGTTATAAAGAGGATGGTGATCAATTTTCCTCCATGTCCACTGAAGATATGAGAAGAAATAATAGGCTTTAATCTGCAGCAAGGGAGATTTAGGTTAGATATCAGGAAAAACTTTCTAACTATCAGGGTAGTGAAGCTCTGGACTAGGTTTCCAAGGGAGGTTGTGGAAGCCCCATCACTGGAGGTTTTTAAGAACAGGCTGGACAAACGCCTGTCAGGGATGGTGTAATGATACTTGGTCCTGCCTCTATGCAGGTGGCTGAACTAGATGACCTTTCAAGTTTCCTTCCAGACCTACATTTCTAGGATTCTAGGATTTCCAGTGGGCACGTGTCCCCATCGCTAAAAGGCACCAGTTGGCAATTTCTCTGGCAGTCTCAGCACAAAGTCCGAGGACTGACTGGACCGTGGATTCATA